ATATATATATATATATATGGGTGTTATTGATTTAATATTAATGTTGTATTTACATTGTATTGCTTGTGACAATGAACGTTATATTCGACTGGTGATATCATTTAAGGGTTGAATGACTTTGAGATTAATTAATGCAAGGAAACGTTGAATGAAACGAACGAGTATCATTCTTTATTTTGTCGTAGCAGATAGTAATATGTAACAAATATGATCGAATAAATAATTTATGTTACATATCGTAATTCAGAGCTTTTTATAGACTTACAGCATATGTGTGATCAGCGATCCTTAGAAGCTTAGTATATATAATCATTCACAAGTGCAATTTTGACCAATTTAATGTATGCGAGACATTTCTTTTAGATTTGTACGTATTAACGGTGGTTATTACACAGAAAGTCCTTCCCTCTTTTGCGAAGGCTTCAAGAGTATTATATAAGAGAAATATTGTGTTAAGTCTCAAAAAGATATATACATAAGTTTTCGCAGTGAAAGTATATATTAATCGGTTTTCCCGATTTAATTTAAGAGCGCAGAACTCGAAGAACTTACTGAACATTTTCGACATTTCTCTTATACTTATGTTATTATATATCCAACAGAAAAGTAAATATTATGCAAAATAGAGATAGCAATTAAACAACGTATTTATAAAGCTAACAATTTAAGAAATGTACATACAGTTAAAAAAGTACAATTGGATATTATACTTGATCTTTTCCTTGGTTACTGCAAATATGAAAATCTCATATACGGACGTTTGATTAAATCGATCGGCAATTATCAGAGTATCTTTTTCACGCAAAATTTATGACACAACAACAACAACAACAACAACAATATTTGCGTTATTCGTGATGTATAAAATATTGATAATGTTACGCTAATCCTCATCGTTTTCGCGCAATCTATTATTTGAAAATGGTTTCTCTAGAGCGATCGCAAGAAGAAACAAAGAATTTATAGAGAAATGTCATCACCAACATATAACTTCTTCTTATGTGTCTCTCTTGATTTAGTTAAAAAAAGTTTGCAATATTTTTCGCGCGGCAGAAATATAAAAGTATCTAAAAAAAATACACACACACACACACATTTATATATATATATATACTTCAAATAAGATTGTAATCGAAAGACCAAATTAGAGTGCGTCTTTTTTAGAATAGGAATCTTCAAATTATAGGAGGAAAGGGAAGAGGGGATTAGATAGACGCAACTTTCTATCAGGAAAGATCTGGACAAAGGTAAAAATAAGTTAAACGGTTGACGAACTTTCACTTTTCTGGATTCGAGCAACGTAATTAGCGATTGACATTAGCTTCGAGCACATAACGTAAATATGATTGAAAGAATCCACTCTTTCGTAGCATCGATATTGTTCTCGAAGAGGAAGTTGATGAAAGTACCAACGATGAAAAGCTCAAACTAAACATTTTCAGAAAGCCTCACATTACAACTCATAAGTCTCGCGAGTGATGAGCGCGTATTGCTGCGACTGTTAACATGGCACTCAAAAAAAGCTAATTAGTTTCATAACGCGGTCACATAATATTTATAGTGATGCCAGTAATATGTATAATTATTGTACGTGTATGTTTACCGCGTTGAGCTTATGAATCGGTAAATTAACGCAGATTAACGACAGGTGGGTTATATAACGTAGAGAACGCGAAGTGAATTCGTTTCGGTTTCTTGATTTGTTTCACCGTTCGAAACGATATTTCTTTAAAAAATAAAAGAGTAGAATAATATATGACACATATAATAATAATAATAATAATAATAATAATAATAATAATAATATAATAATAATAATAATAATAATAATAATAATAATAATAATAATAATAATAATAATAATAATAATAATATAACTAA